CTCCATATCGGTTTCTTAAATTATGACATTTAAGTGAATATGTAATAATGAAAAAAAATTGCAAATAAGATGGTTGAGCCACACCAAACAACGAACCAGTATTCCACCTTCGATTTCACCTAACCTAGATTTTAAAACAAAAATTTTTTTTCCTTCACCTTTTCTGCCATTTTACACACTGCTGAAAGTAAAGACGCATATATTCTGAAATGCATATGCAACGAATAGTAAGTAAAAGGATAATTTAAGTTATTCTAATTTTTTCCCCTAAGCGTGTATTCTTTCTCCAGCTAGAAAGCGACATTTCAAACTCATAGTTCATCGAGCGTGATGACGATGAACGTTTCTTCTTTGTATCTGTTCATTTGTTTTTTCCGATGTTCAACATAATATTTCATATCATACACTTTTAAACTAAATTTAAGACCGATTGCGTTTTTTACCTACCTATTTTTTTTTTTTTTCTATTTTAAAAAGAATAATTATCTAGCCTTCATGAATAAAAATTAAAAAGTCTGTACGTTTTCTACAAGATATTCCAAGTACGTATAAATAAAGTAAAAAGCAAATATAGAAAGAGATTTTCTATGTAACATTCCAAGAGCATTCTACTTGTATCATATTCCATTACATAAGCAGAATCCTTTCATTGCTTGGCTCGTCTCCAAGCACTGTAAGCAAAAGCCACTAACTACAATGAGAATCACGTCTCTTCATTGAAGATCCACGACTAGCTGTACACTATACTGCATTGTTGCGGCAAGTACCACAGCCAAAAATGACAGTGATACTTAGTGGTAACTAGTTATCACTTTATGAATGCTGTGCCTTCTTGTAACGGCTCCAACAGACGCATCCATACATGTGAATAGAGTTATATATTTAATTATCTTTATATATATATATGTATTATAAGGTATTTTTCCCGCCTTCTTGGCATGAGTTCGTGGTGTGGTGGTCTGCACGCTAGGCGCGAATTCCAGAGATCCGTGGTTCGATTCCCGGCGAAGGCGGTTGCTCATTTTTCATCTTTCCTGCTTCCAAATTACCTAATGTATCTACAGTATACATGTGTATATACACAAAAAATGGAAAGCTCCGTGATTCTTCTGGCTTCAGTTATGACGTTTTGTCGTTGTCCTGGCTGCCCAAAGGGATATCTAAAAAGGAACCTGACTCACCAAAAGGGTTATGATTGAGCATTAATGTAGCTGGGATGAAAATCTATTAACACTAACAAATTTTCGATTATTTACTTAAGAAGAATCAATTTGAATATTCTTTAATATGTGATTTAGAAATTTTTTCACTTTTTTAGTTATTTTCCTCCCATTTCTTAACTTTTCTCAGTGCGTAGATTTGAAAGTAGACAATTCTAAAACATTGAAAATTTATCTTTGCTATTTAACTGAAAGAAAAGATGATGAAAACAAAGAAAAATACCATTGTTTTCCTGCATGTACTTTAGAAAACAATCTTACACATGCTGAAAAACAAAGGAATATGCAGATGTAATTGTAAAAATGATCAATTGGTGTTAAACTAAGTTTATAGCAAGTGTGTTTACATAAGAGATATTTTGCCTAATATTATGATATTTAAATAATTACAAAATATTAAATCATAATCTGGAAAAGAACTTGAAATCTTCTCTTAGTATAGAGGTTTTAGAGTAATACGTTAAATACTTTAACACTAAGCAGTTACTGTAGTCCTTTCTGATTAAAAAAATTTGTGCATAAGGAGTAAAAACATACAGTATAAAATCTTCCATTTAAAAATGAGCTGTTCAAAATTGCAAAACCAAATTGCAAATGGGGTGAAAAATAACAAGGCCAAATGGTAGAATACCACTTGGAGACTGTGCATGTATTTAAAAAGAAAAGATTTAATTATTCAAATTAGTAAGTTTATAGCAATTTGTAGGAATAAATTAATTTACTTGATTGCTTTTGTTTGGGAAAAATATTTACCCGAACCGGTAATGTCTTCCGTTATACTAATACATGAAATCCATGAACTGAAAATAATGAAAATCTCAAAGAGCTTTCTTTTTATGTATTTAAAGAGAAAAGATAAACTGAGTAGTATTACTTCTACTAGAATTTTGCAATTCCGTTACTTTTCCTCCTTCGTGGTAAAAGAGAGAAAATTATTTTCATGGTAAAAAGAGAGAAATTTATTTTCATGATTTATGAAATATTTCGTGTCTTGTGCTATTACAAAACAATTAACAATTGAAACTACCCAGAACTTTCAATGTATTTTTTTCTTTTGTTATTTTGTACGTATTGCTATTATTTTGCTTCTCTTGTTCTAAATTACTCGAATAAAGGCAGACAATTGCAAAACAAGACAGCAACAAGACAGCAGTTTCCATCTGCGCTTTTCATTTTTTAATCATTCTAATTGAGTCATTGTGTTAGCTTAACCTCACCTCATACACTTTTACTAAATTTTAGTACAAATTTATAAATCGAAAGAGGCACTGGAATTTCTATTAAGTGGGATGTTCGAATCCACCGAATCTTGGGAAGGATTCGACAACTCGAATCTTCACGCTTTTTTGTCATTTGAATCATTCGAATCCTAAGACAAAAACCTGTTAAATGTTCGAATTGAAAACTTTGATTAGATTTCTTTTATTGACGTCAAATAAAACCGTTTCTTGAATGAGAACTCGACAGTTGCGATTTCTGTAGATCTGAATCACCAACATCAACACCAACAGCAAGGCGGCTTTTTCGCATACTCTTAACTTTGCAGAAAAATATGATTTCATGTTTTTTTTTTTACTTATTACGTGCTCCGCCCTTAGGCACTACACTTACCTTAGGCACTAAATAGCCGCATACTTACTCCACCAAGCTTGCCTTCTGTCTACTCATATCAGACAATTATAGACAATCCTTTGGACTCAAAGCCTCCTTTTATACTGATCTGCTTTATCGCATGCATGAACATGTAACTTCTTTATTCTAGATAAAATGTTCTTGAATAAAAAATACACAGCTCAACTGCACTAAAAGCGCATCCGTTCTTGATTAATTATATTTGTATTTTTCACCTGTTAGTACCACATAGGAACTGATAAGACGATGTAGGTTACAATATGAATGTTAGTCTAGTTCCACTTTATTTCCATTGATTCATTTAAGTTTTGATATGAGAAACTTAACGTTACTATTAGATAAAAAAACCTTTTATCGTTATGTACTTATATGCTTCATGAGTGCTATATAAGAACAATATAGCAGATGTTAATTTAAAATGACGTAATGCAGAGAGATTTATTATGAGCATGTTACTATTTTTAGTATAGAAAGAGGAAATAGCCAAATTAGCAATGGTAAAGAGAGGTTATTAAAAATTAATGTTCTATTTTTATTTTACATAATCTTTATCTTAAATATATACTTCACTGATTTTCTAATGGCCTGAAAGTTTCTTGGAAAATGTCCTAAAAATTCTTATATCAGACCAGCACAACAAATAATATTTCACGTTATAGATTTGTCAAGTAAAATTGTATCATTTACATAACTAATGTAATGTAATGTTTGATATTTATAATTAAAAAACATTAAAAAAGGGTATTCTACTTCAGCTACCTAATACGTCATTAGAAATGCGTTTTATGATATACACTAAAGCTTCAAAATAATTATAAAAATTATCGGTTATATATAAATTAAATGCATTATGAGATATAACAGTATGTTATCAAAAATAAAATAATGCTTCAAATTATAAATAAATACGTTTATTGCCCTTAAATCGCTCGGCTTATTAAGCTATTAGACTGATTTAATTTGAATGATAATTTTAAAACCTAATGTTTTGCATAATAGGAACATTCCAAGACCTCTGCAATACTTCAGCGCTGGCAAGAATTACCATTAAGGAAATATTTAGTGGTATTTCACCTTTCACCTCTCGTTTCTTAATGTGTAGAGGGCAACTGTATTAGAATTCGATGCAAAAATTTGGAAATCTCATTAACAGTACTCTAAAGATCAGTATGAATGATTAATTCCACAGTTGAACCTAAATTGAACGGCCCTCAAAGACATCTTTGAATATCTTGGAATGAGATTTGCAGATCAAATCATGAGATCTGTTTGTGATATTACGACTCCCATAGCTAGTTTCGAAACTACGATCAAAAAGCAGATTTTGATAAAATGGCAGAATTAATGAAATGAACCACCAAATGGAGAAAGAAATTCAACATTCGACCAAGTCAAGGATACGGGCAAAATGTAAAAGTGTTATGAAAAACATAAATTATAAGATCTGAATCATCGCCCGTAATACATTAAACTTTCTAGACTCAGAATGCTGAGTTGAGCTGATTTTTTTGTAAAAATTCATTTTTTTTAATAAAAATTGGTCTTATTTTAGGGACTGCTAACGCCTTCTTCCGTAACTTTGTCGCGGTTTTGAAACGCCGCTGTACATTGCACAAATGTTAATATATTTTGAATTCCATTTATCTTGTTCAGTTATCTTATACTACAGTCTGTTTAGATAGTGGTTATTTCAAAATAAGATGAAAATGCTTATCAGCAGAAAGTATATCAACAATCTTGCAAAATTCCATTATCAACTATTTAATTTTCATAGCTGAAACTAAGCGCTTCCGATTTAGCTGTTCGCATAAATCCGAGGATGATTTTTCATGAAAATGTAATGACGTTTAGAATTTCTGTACTATGAAAAAATTCATCATGCCTGACTCTTTTAGAAGAGCTATTAAATCTGAGTTACCAGCTAACGTTACAATTTTTTTATGAAGAGCGATTTCGAAATCATATCTAATCGCGAGCTCACATGTGATTATCCTATTTATACAACTTGCTGTATGACGTGTAAAGTTACTCACACCTAGATGAACACGTGGTGGAAAATAATGATTTGTTTCTATTGATATTTTTTCTGGATTTATGTTCCATTTATGACGCAAAACAAGCTAACAGTAGAATTCTTTCCCCTTATAGCTTTGCAACTGCAGAAATCATGACTAATCATATAGTTCAAGCTATAGTGCTCATCGCTGCCGTGGGAATTGCATTTTCAGGTATGTTTCACATTCGCTACTGTTATGTTTCTAATTGATCTATGTATTTTTATTTTCTTATCACTTTATGCTCATAAAAAGCGCTGGATTATCTAAACAAACAGGAAATTGTTTTCTGTGATACACTTTTAAAACAGTGTATCACCTAAAAAAACTGTAGGTATTTTCAATGTTGCTTTTAATAATGGAATCTAATTTTGTTCTTATATGTAAAAAATCTGTTAAATATTCTGCGACATATTTCCATCCCATTAGTCTTTTACAGGGTTTTCTTATAATATGCTTAAATTATTTTCTAAGGTTGCATTAATAATAACATACACCTCAGCAAGGATTCACCGACAGCCGAGCGGTAAAATCGTTGATTACTGGTAGTTTGACCTGGATATCAAATCTCGACAAACAGCCCCTTTGCAGGAGCGTTTTTGTGTTTTTGTCCATGTGTAACAGGAATACGTGGCAGACTCTCTTAGAAAGTTTTCTGCAAAGAAATTCCATTGATTCCCATATCCAGATAAGTCTTCTTGTGTTTTGACATAAAGAAAACAAACGGGCACCCACCTCAGTAAGTACCTATAAAAGACTATCGTCCTGTTTGACTGCTAAGCTGAAAATAGCACAAAGTTAGAAACAAATAGAAATATTTATTAACACGTTTATTATTATTGATTTAATGTTTAAGTGAAATTAAAAGAAATAAAACGTCCGTAGTTTACGAGTAGAACAACAGCTTTTAACCACAAATTTAAGTAAAATCGATCAGAGCGACTAACTGCTATCGATAAATCACAGCAAACAAATATTTGCCCATCATGCCATTATCGTGAATAATGGAATTACTTAGTCGTGATTATTAGTTATTACAGTGCCAAAAGTGTGGTTTCGATTATTTAAGCAAGCCACATGCTCAATATGATCACGATTAGTGTTTCTGAATATTTTTAATTATGACGACGCATAGTAACTGCAGTAATCTCCGTAGATAAAAACAGTCTATAAAAACACTGTCACCCATGGCTCCGATGAAGTCTGAAATTTTGAAGAATGGATTTTTAAACGGGATAACGAACTAAAAAAATGATTATCTTTTTTAACTGACAGCTACACAATATCCAAATGGGTCTGATTAAGCGTGGTCAAGGTATAGGCTTCCTTAACGTACTCTTTGATCATGGCCACAGAACAACGTAGAACGGTTATTATCTGTGTAGGATTACAACTGGAATCATCTACAGAAGAGATGTTAACAACAGATGCGTAAGTGAAAATGAATTAGCTAGGAAATCTAACGTCGATCATGAACATTAGTTTTCCTTACTAATTCAGTACATTAGTAATTTGTTCAATACACCCAGTTAGCAGAGCATCTACTGAATATCTCGTTCAGTCCTATCTCAGATCAAGTTGAATTCTGTCTTTAGCATGGATCTACTGAGCACTTGCAAGGGAGCCCTGCGAGAATAGGGGCCTCATGCTAATCCGTTTATATATCATTTACTTTTCATTTCGGTGAGGGTGTTCACCGACAACATTGCGGCAAAATAATCGCGACAAAAATATCGCAGAGGAAACAACACAAGGGGAAAACGTCGTGAGAGAAAAGAAAGCAAGGAGAAAACATCTTAGTTCTAAAGTATCGAGGTATAAAATATTGTCGTCGAATCTAAAGCTATTCAATAACATCGCAGTTTTAAAACATCGTCATAGAAAATATCGTGTTAAAAAATAAAGCACCTGTAAATCATCGTATCGCATCTAGCTTTGCATACATGTGTTTTTTAGGCTTTAAAACTGTAAATGTTATTTACATAATAGTTGAGCCCAAGAAAGGATGAGTAATATTTTTATCTCCATGTTTTGTATTTTTAAATAAATAATAAATTTTTGCAGAAAAAAGCAAGAAGGAAATATAGGCATTCAAAAAACTTAAAAATGAGTAGAAAATTAATGCTACGTACAGCAGTTAATAAAAATTTTAATTTATGCACTTAACTATCAAAAGGCCCACCAGCGGCCTAGCGGTAAAGTCTCTGAACAGTGGCGGTTCGGTTGGTGGTTCGAATCCCGGGGAACGGGCTGCTGCACGGGCGTTTTAATGGTTTTCCCCATGTGTAGCGTGTATACGAGCCAGTTCCCCTTAGGAAGTCATTCACAAAGGTATCCCTTCCCTTAAGGCAGATAGCTCCGAGTGCTTTGCCATAACTAAATCAACAACTAACTATCAAAAGTCATTATGTCATTATTCTCTTCTATAAAGTTATATTGACAGTTTTTAGTTTATTTATATTGGTAATTAGGTAGTAAATAATATTATGAGGCTGTAATGTATTGCTCATCTTACGGAAATAGTCGTCATGAGTGTTGAAACTAAATAACGTTTGCATAATCCGAGTTCAGAAAACAAAACATTTATTTTACATATTTTAAAGAAATAACGTTCTGAAACAACATGTTTCATCTACACAATCAATCGACGCTCTCACCAGAGCATTACGCCATCAAACTTGGCACATCGAAAAGTTCAAATTGAAGAATACAGAAGCGTTGTTGCCACACAAGAAAAGACATATAGTTACAAATTCACACAATAATAAAAAAACACACTTTGAAAAATAGACAATAATAATAAAAATAGTAATAATAAATTCTTAACAATATTTCTCGATTATGCAACATCCTCCCCCTTTTTGAGTCATGGCAAACGACTCAAAACATATGTTATCCTATTAAAAAAGGTCTAGTACATTAGGCTTCTTAACAAGCCGTCCTGACGACCGCAAAATTTCTGTTTTATATGCGTACGTCGTCTGATCGTTTTTCCTTATCGTCGTTAACGTTAGGCTCTTCAACTAAATTATTTTCATCTATTTGTATCTCTAGTGGATAAATACGCTGAACGGGCCTTATGAAATCCCGGTCTCAATTTTTAGTTTAACTGCTTGAACATTTTCATCCCGACCAGGAACTTTCTCTATAATTTTACCCAAAGGCCAAATACAAGCGTTTTTTGAAATCATCCCCTATTAAGACTATCTCCCCAATTTTAGGCAACCGAGTTACTTTATTTTTTGGTTGTTTCATTATTAATTGCCCACGATATTCTTTTCGGAAACGGTTCATTAAATCGTTAAGAAGTTTTGCGCGGTATTTAATTGTTCTCAGAAAATCCTGAGTGTCAATTTTATCTATATCTGCTACATCCTAAGTACAATTTTCAATTAAAAACATTGATGGAGTTAAGGTTTGTGCCTACCCTAAATTCGTCGTTTTGATGAAAATATATGTTAAAGGTCGAGAATTAATTACCGACTCACAGTCGCAAATTAAGGTTTCCAGTTCTTCATAAGATAAAACCGATTTTCCCAAAGAACGTTTAAAAGTTCTTTAAACCATGCGAACTAGCCGTTTCCCACCAACCTCCCCACCAGGAGGTTGTTGGTGGATTGAATTTCCCATACTATTCTCTTTATTTTTGCCTCATTCTCTATTATGTCCCAGTTAAGTTTAGACATTTCGTTATACGTTCCTCGGAAGTTAGTCCCATTTCAGAATAAATGGTTCGTGGTCTGCCACGTCTGGCTATAAAACGTCTTAAAGCCAAAAGAAAAGATTCTGTTGATAACGAAGTCACCAGTTCTAGATGGATTGCCTGTACACAGCGCATGTGAAGTGCCATCCAAACCTTCTTACCGTCTTTCAAAACAATGGGCCAGCTAAATCTACTCCCAAAATTTCAAAAGCCCTATAATCTCCTACGCGATCTTCAGGAAGAGGAGTCACTTCGCAAGACATCGGTTTCGCTTTATATCGTTGACATATTACACACCCTTTTTCACACATTCGCACAGTTTTACGTGTTTTAGTATCCAGAATCTTCTCTTAAATAGATGAAGTATTTGAGTTCCAGCATGACAATGTTTCTTATGAACTGACCAATTAACAATGTAGTAAAGATACATTTACTCGGTAACAAAATTGGTGTTAAAAATTCAGAATTGTCTTTTGCGTTCCAATTTCTAGTTTTAACTCTTATAATTTTTTTCATTATCAATGAATACATCAAGTGGATTAAGAGCTCCAATTCAGGGAAATTTGAGCTTTGAACCAACCGAATCAAAACTTTTTCGGAATTATGATTTCAGCAACAGTTAGTTTAGATTCTTTACACAAATTTGACTTCTTCTACAGTTAGAAATAAACGTAACACCCAACCGGTTACACGAATCATTTTCTCATAATCAGAAACTCTTTCTGCATACCAAGGAGTGGTATCCTCTGAAAGTTAACATTAATAAGTTTTACCTTCCTCTTTTCCAAGTCAGCTTCGCTCGGCTGACAAACAATATTGGTAGGCCAAAAAATTCAGGGCTTTCTCTTAGCCAGAGAGGTCCCTTAAACCACTCCGAGTTAATCATTTGTTTAGCAGAGCAACCCCGAGATAACACATCTGCAGGGTTAATATTACCGGGCACATGCCTCCAAGATTCAGGTTTTGTCAACTTAGTAATTTCTTTAACACGATTGCTTACAAAGTTCGACCAATTACCAGAATTTCAGATCCACCGTAGTGCGACTGTGGAATCACACCATAAAGTTACATTTATATCAAAACCATTAAGAGCTTTACAAACAGAATAAAATAATCGGGATCCAATGCAACAGGACATTAATTCTAACCTAGGAATCGTCAAATTCTTAATAGGAGACACTCTAGATTTTGCTCTTAAGAGAGTAATTTTTACAACTACACGAATCAACACTTCTCGCGGAAAATACATCCTGCATAAGCATATTTGCATGCATAATTCAACTGTTGCACAGGTTTCATTGAATCGGGGTATTGCCACATTTTTCAAAAAAGTATATCAGATAACCACACGAAAAAATTTACTTACAAAGATAGAGCCTTTCTTGGGATGAGGCAATACCTCATCCCAAGAAAATTTCAGTTTCCATGTTTCTTGTAACAAAGGTTTGGGAAGCAAAGTTGTAGGTGTAAG